TCAGAGGCTGCTCCGGGGCCGGGGGAGCTGCTCAAACCTCCCCGCTCCTTGGACTGACAGCCCAGGCCGGGGCCAGTGCGGGGGGCTGCTCCCTCATCCCTGTCCCCAGGCAGCCCGGGGAGAGCCCGGCCTCGCCAAGGCCGAGGAGACCTTCTCCCTTCGTGGGTTTAGCGGCCTTTTGTAACTGTCTTGGCAACAGCTCTGCACACAGCCTGGCGATGCGAAGGGCGACTGGGGCCATGAGGCACTGCCCAGGGAGGAGGAGGAAGAAGGTCCTGCCCTGGACCCCGGGAAGGCTCTGGGTCCTGCAGAAGCCGGGCCAGCCCTGGCTGCTCCTGGAGCTGCTCATGCGCTCGGGGCCACCACTGAGCTGGGGGGCCAAGGGGTCTATTGTTTTGTTTTGGGGAATGGGAAATAATTTTTCTTGGAGTTTACTTGTCCCCAGGGAGCTGGGGGGTCTATTTTTGTTCAAATAAAGCAAACAGCTTGTCCCGGCTCTGCTAAAAACAGCTTGTGCCCTTTCCCTTCCCGCGCCCAGGCTGTACTGGCGCCTGCAGCCCCGCGGGACGCCGGGAAGCAGCTCCGGCGCCTGGAACATGCGGGGGCGGCAGCAGCTGGGAACCTGCAGCACCCCTGCCCCCCTCCACCAGCATCCTGGGGGGCGTCCCCAGCCCCGCAGCACCCAGTAACCTGGGAAGCAAGGAGAGAAATGCTTTTTATTGCAGGTCAAAGTCAGTGCAGACCACGTGGGTCTGCAGAGCCGTGCGCAGCCCCAGCGGCTCCTGCGCCCTCCTCTTCCTCATCCTCATCTTCCTCCTGGCCTCCGTGGGTGCTGGTGCCACTCAGCAGCAGTGGGCCATGGGCTCCATGTTGAGGAAGCGAACGTGCATCTTGGTCTCGATGTCGATGCCCCTCCAAATCTGCTGGAGGGACACGGCAGCTCCGCACGCTGCCCCCAGCCCGCGCACAGGGCACCCTGCGCGGCGCTGACAGCACCAACCTTCAGGAAGTCGTCGAAGGTGATGCCCTCGTACACCTGGTCCGCGTCCTGCGCGCGGCGCGAGAGTGTCAGCCCGGGTGGGGAGGGAACGGCCCGTTGCCCGGGCTGCTCCCGCCAGGACACAGCACCGGGGTACGCCGGGACCGCGGCACCGGGCGTCCGGCCGGTGTCACCACCCAGAGGTGGCCCCAAGCCCGGCTTCGATGCCACCTGCTGAGCCCCTGCCCCCAGCCTCAGAGCCTATAGATTCATATGTGTGGGGAGGCTAGATATAGCTAATGGATAGGTAGTGCCTGTGCCCCACAGCAGCCCAGGGGAGGGACTCCCACCATTGGTCCGGCGCAGGTTTGGGCGGCCTCCAACATGGCCCCATCCGCGATGGACCTGGCCGCCCCCTTCTCCAGGTGCGGGTTCCCTGACAGCAGCTCCTCGACCACCTGCAGGCAGCGAGAAACCATCAGGGCCGGGCCGGCCGCGCGGGCCGCGGTGCCGGTGCCGGGGGGGGGGGGAATACGTTACATTTCGATACTCCTCCAGCGTGATGATGCCGTCACGGTCTGAGTCGTACATGTGGAAGAGAACTGGGGAGCAAGAGCGGCATTTCTGGGCAGAGCTGCTGCCGGGGCCAGGCCGGGGCGGCCTCACATTTGAGCTTGTCGGTGCGGAGACGCTCGAGCTGCTCCTCGTCCATGTTGGGCTCAATGGGTCTGAAGTAGGACATGATGGTGAGGAAGTCCTCGAAGTTGATCTCATCCGCCAGCCCGTCCTCTTCCTGCCGCAGGTTCCTGTCAGGAGAGAGGCAGTGACACGTGATGGCCGCACAACACCCGCCTCGATGACATCCAGCTGCAAATGGGCGCCCCGCTCCTTTCCAGCGCGGCCTCCCCAGCCCGCTCCTGTGCCCCATGGCTCCTCACCGCCTGTCGAAGAAGGCCTGGACAATCTTGCAGCGGATGGGGTTGAACTCCAGGTCGGGGATGCTGTCGAAGTGCTCCTTGCTGCCAAGGAAGCGGAGGGGACCGAGGTGTGACGGTGTGCCAGGCACCATCCCCTGCCAGAGTGCCCTGCTGGGAGGTGACACCGGCTGCCAGAGCCACGGCGCTGCCCGGCTGGTCCTCGGGGCGGGGGACGACATCGGGCTCCTCCGCTCACCGGAGGGTTGGCTTCTCGCTGCTCAGCTGCTTGAAGCGCCGGTGCAGGTGCTCGATCTGGTCGGCCGTGACTGGCGTGGGAAAGGAGAGCACTGAGGGGCAGCTGGGGGCTCCGCGCTTCCCCCGTGGCTGCCTGGAGCAGAACCCGTCGCCCACTTGGGTTGAGCATTTCCAGGCCTGGAGAAATGGGAAAAGCAGTGCCCTCCCCACCCCCGCAGCTGAGCCTGGTAGCAGCTCATCACATGCATGAGCGCAAGGGCTCCCCCCACTGCCCTGGCCCGTGCTGCTTGGCCAGCGCGTGGAAACCTCTGCTGGCCTTGTGGGTGGAGGGTGTCACTCCTGGGCTTGTCACTGTCACCGTGGGGTGAACACAAAGGCTCTGATTAAAGTTTCGATTGAAGTTTGGCGGTTTTTTTCTCCAGACGTGGCAGATTGACCCGCGTGTGTCTCTGCTTCTGTGACTTTGTTGGGCCTCGTTTCAATGTGATTTGGGGATGCGTCAGGATGCCGACGAGGGCGGGGAGGCCGCACTGGCCAAGCAGGGACACGGGGGGCAGTGAAGGGCCCTGGGGCAGCAGCGGAGGGTGCTCAGGCCTGGACCAGGAGGAGGAGGAGGAAGGTGCAGGAGACGCGAGGGCGCAGGGCCTTGGCGGGTGCTCCTGGCACTTGCTCCCTCTGCGCTGATGCTCCCGTCTCCGGTGGAGGCGGCAGGAGCACCCGGAGCCGCCCGGGC